CCCCAAAACCCCAAAACCCCAAAAATCAAATATGTAAAACTGATGAAAAAAGAGTTTATCTGATTTGAGAATTAATTTAATGTATTATACTAAAATTAGTGAAATGATTTGAATTAATGAAGGCTAGAAGTCAAATCAATATCAGATAATATTAATTAATGTTTCTTTAATATGGCCCACATGATCCTTTCACTCGGATCTCTCTGAGTGAGTATTTCCTTCACTTTTGATAGTCATTTCAATATTTATGTTGATTTAGCATTCATTTTGGTCATAAGTAGTAATCTCTGACAACTTCTTTTAATTTAATTTTTTTTCCTCAATCATTAATTTTGTTGTTAATGTTTTTTAATGAGAAGGATTTTTGCTTATTTCAGGTAATATTCTTAAAATGAAATAAGCGCAAGCATAAAACAAAGACACAGCAGCTAAAATGTCGCAGGTGCTGCTAAAACCAGTATATTCATATAGATAGCCGCCCAGAATAGGTGCAAACACAGCGCTTAAACCAAAAGTAATGCTATTAACGCTTGAGGCAAAATCAGAAAGCTCTTCTCCTTCCTAAATTTCTTATTTTTGATGGATTTAATCAATGATTTCTGGAATAAATGTAATAATAACGGGTGCACATGCTGCTCCTAATAAAGTGAATCCAATTGTAGATATAATCAAGTTACTAAAAATTTGATGAGTAGTTGAATGCTTACTTTCCAAATTTTAATATTTTAGAAGGACCAAACATTAGCAATGAAATAGTAATCAATAAAAAACATCCAAAGATCAAGTATTTTCTCTGAATAAACTTTGTAATTTTATTCACGAAGATTGAGCAGATTGCATATGCAAGACATTGAAATGAAAACAAATATCCTGGAAATATCATTATTAAAAAAATGTATTTACGTACCTACTGTGCGAGAGTCAACATTTAAATCTTTTATAAAATGGTCAGCTAAGCAGGAGTCTGGAAAATATACCAAAATTTAACACATCATCTTAGAGATTGCTGCAATTATGATTCTAGGATTAGAGAAGAACATTTTGTGAAAACTATTAGACTATACAATTGTAAAGTAAACAATATTTATAATACTTGATTTTTTTATACCGAGTTAAGTGTAGCAGTTTTTCCAATGTTATTAAAATCATAATTAAAACCCTCAACTATATTCATCTGGATCTCTTAAAAATTATCTGAGTCTAATCCTTGGATATTTAGGGAATTTTTTTAGTATTGAGATGGTATACTCAATTGAGATGCCAATATTAGCGGAATGAGCATCATAAATGCAAAGTACATAAAAGTCATTTGAAATCCGACTTCATTGAAGATCAATTAACCAATAACAGGACCGGACATAATACCTACTCCAATCGAGGTCTAGACATAACCCATATATTTTTCTCTCTCATCTCTAAATTCGAGGCAAATTATAGCAGAACCTAGTTGAATTATTGATTAAATTGAGAATATTACCAGTTGTAAAAATAATAGAATCTCCAGCTCCTTATAAAGTTCTAAATACTATTGAAATCCAGAAAAACATATGACTAAAATCAATAAAAATGAAATATGAATACTCATTGTTTTATGGAATAAAAGAAAGAGACATAAATCCAAGAGTAGAAAGTATGACTACTAATACCCCTGATATTAGTAAGATTTTCTTTTCATATTTACTTAAAAGTTATCTCATAAAGATTGAAACAAAAAGGAATGAAATTTAAAACATTCTATATTGGTATTATATTTGGTGAAAATCTTACGATAGTATGATTCCGATCAAACCATCATGAATAGTTTAGTGGTTTTCTGTTCTATACTGAGGTAAAAATGAGGTAAGATTCATAAACAAAGTTTAAGGGATCCCAATCACAAGCATTAAAATGAAAAATGTATTATTCTTTCGTTCATTTTTATCTTTTTCTTCAGATCTAATTGTACTACCAAACATTATTTTGTTTTGATACGGGTGAGGTATTTCTTTTCTTTACATTTTTGCTCTTGGACAATCGTATTAATTATTACTTAAATGAGAATGATCTCTTAAATATTATTCAAGTACATCAGAGTATTCTTCATTTCTTTGTTTATCTTTATTGGCATTTTTCATTGCTTCTCTTAGGGACTAATTTTCTTTAATAAAAATCATTATAAGATTCAACAAAAACTTAGCATTATTTTAATCAATTAGCTATCAAATTAATAAATTTTTTACTCTCAGTTTTGTATTAAACATTCGACATTATATAATTTAAAGTGTCAACATGGGGTTTTGGGGTTTTGGGGTTTTGGGG